ACAAGGTTATTTCATTTGCTACCTTAGTGCTTTTTGGTACCCTATAAAATCTTCTTCCTATATTCTGGCTGATTATGTTTCTTTTTCTCTTTTGGACTATCAGAATTCATCACAGAAAGTGAAGGAAGTGGCAAAATACATGAACTTCCGTGCTACAAAAGGCGATTGTGTATTTGGTGGTCATTATACATTGTCGGAGGACAAGGTCAATTGCTTAAATTTGCTGGTTTCTTTATGTTCTAATACTAATTATCTCATGCGTTTCCTAATTTATGTTATGTGACATTCTCATTCTGTGCAAGTTGCTCTTCCTGTTCAAAACTGGAATTTGTTTGTTCAACAGTTTGTTGCTTGTTTTATTTCATTTCATTCCGATTTTGAAGTTCATCTTTACTGCTGCATTCACAGGTTGAAGCTGCTTTTCTGTATCCTGGTTTGCGCCCTACTGTGTGGAGAATTCGGTTGAGGTACTTGTTGAACTCTACTTCAATTTCTGTGAACGAAAGGTGTTACTTGTCATCTTTCTGATGATAAGGAATATGATTAGTAACTCTACGAAGTCATGTGAGAAATGGAAGGAACTGGTATAAGGTCAGAGTTTCTTATTATATTTTCTAAGAGAGAAAATGGTGGAGATTAGCAAGTGTGTGTCTTTTCTGTATATCTGTGTGTGTGTCTAACTTCCACAAAGGTGCCTAGAGTTATTGCCAAAAAGGTAGTCACTGCTGGTAGAGTTGTGAGAGGGATTGTTAGGGCTTTAAAAAGATCTCCAATGGAAATTCCATCTGCAACGGAAATTCCTGGTGGTTAAGATTAAGGATATACTTGTATGAAAGTTTTCTTTTTTTTTTTTTGGGGTAACCTAGATGGTCTCAAACACAGATGTTTCATTTTTTCTTTACATTCTTATGTGTTGATGAATAGGTTAAGGGGAACGATAGCAGGTGCTAATAATCGGATGGATTTACTTGCACTTGTTACCAGTGGCGTAAGTGATACTGAGGTTACTGGCCCTGATGAAGACATTCTTGGCGTTGTTGAAAGGTGGGAGGAAGATGAGACACATAACCCAGACGTTCCAGCAATTACACACAAGAGAGGTCTGACACCTTTCGTCTTCATTCCATTTGAGGAGGTAAGCTTCTTTTTTTATTATTTTTTGTCACAACTAGAATACAATTTTTTTCCATGCTTTGTCATTCTCAATGGTGGACTATTCATGATTATATGCAAATTGTATCATTCTGACGTATAAGTTTCTCTTTTCTGCATGTTACATTGTTTTTTACTGCTTGCTTGGATGTCTCCAAAATAACATCTTGGTCATCTTTGTGATCAACTGATGCATTTGTTACCTGAGATCTTGTTAAATGCATAACTGGAGCATTAAAAATAAAAGCACTCTAGGTGTTGTGGAAGAAGCTAAATTTCCTTTACCCTGAGAATTGCAATGAATTCTCGCGCTTAAATAATTCCAAGACAACATTGTTGGTTCACTAAATGGAATGGGCAGGATCTGTTATTCCAATATTAGAAGTTCTAAGGTAAATGCTTATTCTTAGGTACGTTTGCACTTGGTAATTGGTAGATATAATGGGCATGGAGTATGATCTTTCATGAGATTTGTTCGGCTTAAGTATCTATTTTCATGACCTTTTTTTGGGCTTGTTAATATGTTTTTTTTTTCTTTTATTTTGGGTTATCTTACAAATGTTGTTCTATCATAATAGTGTGTTGTCTACTTTCTGGGATAGGTGGAAACATCAGTTCTTAACCTGCCGGTGGAAAGGATGGACTATTATGTACCGGGCTGATCATCAGAAGAATGCCGGTGAACAGACCATGTAAATATGTTAGTGTTATTATTTCTTTTCCAACCGTAATGATAAGCTGCAGTGAAGAGGAGTGTGGTGTGAATCTCTCTTTATATTTATTAAACAAGCCACTATAATCTTGTGACACAGTCCAAGATCTTCAAGGCTCTGTCTTCTTTTACATTTTTTTCAGAACTGTATTGTAGTTACAAACTGAATAACAATACTGGTTGTGAATGAAGAAGTAATAGTTGTCAAAGTATGCCCTACTATATTGTTATCGTCTTTCTGTAGGATATTTGTTAACTGAAATTGTTGGATTCAGGAGATCAATTTCCTAGTTTTCAACAATTACTAAAGTTTACAATAGTGAAACTCCTGGCAATGGATGCTGATGCATCATGGTTATGAAACCTTAAAAAGTGTATGTTCTGATAGTGAAATCACTGAAATTTTACTATAGTACTTTACATTGTTCTCCAGGAGCCTTGTGCACATCATAATTAACAAGAAGATATTACGAATTTGACATGGTTTTTGGTAGAAATACATCTTGATATATACTTTGAGATATGTTATAGATTGACTATTACCCTCGGCACTTGTGAATATACATCGCGTAAAAGAGGTGCTTTGATTACTGGTGATGTGAGGAGGAGGATCAAAGATATCACATTGGTTGATGGTTATGCGAGAGAGTCTAGCTCATAACTTAAAGGTCTGCCTCTAGCATCTGGTGGGGGGACTCATGATGTGGTTTATACTTAGCAAGATTTTGATATCAGGCATTATTGTTAATAAGGTAACTTCAATTTTTTTTTCTTTCTATTGAGTAGGATGTACCTTTTGTTTAATTGAGGTGATATTTTTTGTTTCTTTAAGAATTTGGACTTCCTCCCTTGATGATGTAGTAGTAGCTGACTTGGGATTTCCAAAGGTGAACCACCCTCAAGTTCTTGGAAGAGAACTTGGGCTTCTTCAACTTCTTTCTCTTCTTGAATTCTTTTTTAAACTCCCATCTCTAATAAGTGAGCTAAGTTCCACCTTGTTCCAGTCTTGAGATTCTTTCTTGAGTTCCTATCTTCTTGAATCTGCATGGATATTCTAGTTGTAAGAACAGTTTCTTTCTTGAATGTTCAAGGTAGTAAAACTATCTCATGAATTTCTTCAACTAGTAGGACTCATTTTCTTTGCTTTCTTGCGGCATTTTTTCAAGTAGTTGTAGTGGTGCAATTTTCTTTTAACTCACTATTTCCTCTTCTGGTAGAAGTTGGGGTAGCAGCAGTACTAGTAATAGTTGCAGTAATAGTAAGTAGTAGAGAAAGAAAGCTATTCCTACGGAGAGGCGAAACTGAGCTTCAAAAAGAAGGTAAAAACAGTAGAGTTGAACTCCGGTTCAAATCCACCGTCCCGAGAGTAAAACTTGAACTCAAAAGTAGTAAGCTCAAGATAACAACCTTAGACATTCGGTCCAAGCATCCCTTACAGCTACAGGGGGCAATGATGATTCCAAAATAAAGTTGAAAATAGCCCATTCAAATCAATCCCGATTCTTCGTTGATCTAAAGGTAATTCAGTCCCCATTAATTCCATTGTAGGTTCAGTTGAATCCTCCCCTCTAAAATAGGCTAGAAGAGGACTAGAAATAGGTGTAAGATAGATAAATGACGATTGATAAAAAAAAAAAAAACCCAATTCAAAGTAGTGAATTTTGAAATAAGAATGTTGGACACCCGATCCAAGCATCACTTATGAAAGGGTTTATGGTGATATATAAAGAGGAGGACCAAAGATCCTCTAGATCGGTTGACAATTAAGAAAGAATCTAACTTAAATTAAAAATCGTTCCCTACCAAGTGACGTGCCTTTTAAAGGACAGAGCAGTGAAGTCCATTGGGCCAAAATGGACAATACCTTCAAATGAGGTTTCAGAGAGATCGTAGCATTAACAATTACGAAATCTTTCCTCTCTTTTCTCCTCGTTGATTTTTTCCCCCTTCTTACTGTTTTAATCAAATAAACATTACTGTGCAATATTCGGTAGACTTACATTTATTAGGGGTGGCAATTCGGGTCCAAATCAGGTTGGCGGGTCGGGTTCGGATCAACCCGTCAGAAAATCTGTTGACCCGAACCCGACCCGCCAACCCGTGGCGGGTCAGGTATGCTGATCCGAACCCGAAAATTTCAGGTTAACGGGTTGGCGGGTCGACCCGAAATGACCCGAAACTTAATTTTAATTTATTAATTTATCACTGTAATTTCTAATAAAATCAATTTCTCACAAAACTAATTACATAATCAAGTAATAAAAATTTAAATAAATAATTCCAAACCAAATCTAAAATAAATTAAACACCGTAAAAGTGTTTTATCCCAAACAAAATATAAAATAAATTAAAACAGTATAAAAGTAAAATATAATATAATATATTATTTGTCTAAATATAATAATTTCAACTTCACACAAATTAAATAAATTCATTTAGGATTAAGTAATTAATGCCTTTGAAAAAAAGAATAACTTAGTTTAGTTAGATAAAATTATTTTTATGTTTATTAAATTATTTTTAATTCGTAAACGGATCATAACGGGTCATATCAGGTCACCACGGGTTGACCCGAAATCGATCTGTTTTCTTTTCGGGTTCATCGGGTCCAACCCGATTCTGACCCGAATTCCCGAAACCTCAACCCAAACCCATTAATTTCGTGTTAGGTTCGTGTCGTGTTTTCAGGTCGTGTCGAAAATTGCCACCCCTAACATTTATCACATAATTGCATAGAAGTCTTAGGATGCGTTTGATAGAACTGAAGTTTGATATCTGAAATATAAAATTTAAATCCATTAAGTTACTGAATTGTTAAATATTAAATCGAATATATTTAAGTGTATATCACATTCATTGATAAGTAAATAGCTTATCACTTAATTTTGGGAGCAAATTTTGCTGAAGAAATTCAGTGCCACTTAATTAATTCAGATATTTAATTTTTGGTTATCAAACGCGTCTGAATATGTTAAGGTCCAAATCCATTAAGTTTAAGTGCCGAAATGAGCTATCAAACAATACCTCAAGCTTCATTAAGTTACGATTAACACTACTAATGCATAGTTCAAAAGTTCTCTTTCGAGTTTCAACTCTTAATAACCTTATGAACTTGTATCAAACAGCAAAACTCAGGTGTTATACAACATTCACAGATTATTCCAGAGATTAAGATGTTTTGCACAATTTTACTCTTTACCTGATTAGACATCTCAACTTTCTGTAATTTAAAACAGTTTTCAAAAAGAAAAGAAGAAATTAAACATTTTAGAGAGAGAGAGAGAGAGAGATTCCATAATTCAGTTGCTGCACTAACAACATCTAAAACTGCTCACTGCAACTGAAGCAGTGAACTTGTTCTGTCGTGGGAATGGAAAGGTGAAACAATCATCACAGCAAGAACAGTATGACTGAAGAAACTGCTGAAGAACTTCTGCTGAAAAGAGGTAAAGCAGTATAACATTCAATATATAGGACGTTGACTGTATGCCAGGAAAAAGAGCTATAAGCTGATAGAAGTATGACAATTTTATTTCAAGTTTTCTTTGAAAGATCAAGTAGGTGATTTTTCACCGTAGCATCAACTTCATATAGAAGACTTGAGCTCTTCTTTGTACACAACAGAATCCCATGATGAGTTTCGGGGAAGGAAAGTATCCTGCCAGGTAAAACCAGGATAGAGTAGTGAGTATCCCAGCAAGTAACTAAATGCTTGGCATATATCATGAAAGAAAGAAAATCTGGCTGTTTTCCGGAAAAATGAAAAACACTGAGGCCCGAAGTACATTTCAGTCTGGAAGAAGCAGAAAATCAAGATCAGAAGAGCAAATGACAAATTCACTCCAGGAAATTGCAAAGATAGAACAGTCAGACCAGATTACTGTAGAAGACTACTATCTATCCAACCGGATGTCAAATAGACTATACAAGTCTTTATACCCTCTCTGTTGAAGGTCCAAGAACTAAGCTGATGAAGCAATTCTCATGGCAATGAATCAGTAGGGCATGCTCCTTTAGTAATATACACCATCACAATGTCCCTTTACAATGCTACTTCCCATTCTAAAACTTGAAACAAAGCAGCTAACCTGTGCCATGGTTTATAACTATTAAGAAAATTGTTTCTGCTTGCTTCTTAAATTCCTTATGACAGTGCAACAGTAGTATACAACTTTTATATGTGAGAGTTAATCTATTTGAGATGACTTCTAAACAACAACCACAAGTATTTATGATCACCACCCAATTTATCAACAACCCCCCCCCCCACCCCCAAAAAATATAGTTCAATTCACAAGACATAATTTCCTTTTGGTTTGAAGATAATAGCAGCTATAGAGTTGCAGTTCCAAAACAGTGTGAAGACTGGTTGTCATGTATTATTCCTCATGGGATACCAGCCAAAGCATATCTTGCAAAATTTACACTGGATAGCAGTAAGCAAAAATGCACGCAGTTATTAAAAAATAACTTATCATTAAGATTTTCTCTAGTCGTAAAAGATCATTAAGTGAAAATTTTGCAGAATAACAGATTCTTCTACATGTGAGTGATTGATTTATTCCCTCCAGTGTCATCAAACATGTTTTATTCTCTAAAGGACCATCAACTTTGACCTGGTCTTTAAAGTTGAAATATTTCATACAAATTTTATCTGTTAGCTGGTGTCAAGACATGAAACTACAATTTCTTTTGTAGTCTTCCCTTGAGTGCCTCTTTCTCTACACCTGTTTCTCATTGCTACTTCAGACAAAAAAAAAAAAAAAAGGACCTCCATCCCTCATTTCTGCATAATTTTCTTCACCTGTCTATATACACCTGTTTCTCATGCGACTTCAGAAAAAATGGCCTCCATTCCATGTTTCTATACTCATGTTTCTCATTGCTACTTTAGAAAAAAGACCTACATCTTCTCCATATTTTCAATTTTGTTATTTAGAAAAGTTCTGCATCTAATTCATTCACATTCTACATCTACTTGTGCATCAGAAGCAACAATAGTTCAAAAGGTTTTTCATTGTGCATCTTTATTGCCATCAAAAAATGATAGATTAAAAATGTGTCCAAATTCTTCACTTCAAAAGAGTTTACCAGAGTCATGCCATGTTTTGATTCCTACAAGGCATTATTTTATTTCCATTTTTTACCTCATCTAAGTTCATAATTCCAGAAGCACATCTAACTTGTCAACTGCAATATCTCTACATTAGGCATTTGCAATAGGTACTGAGTAATAAAAAGAAAGTGTAATAGCGGCTAGATATCTGAAAGATTTTGCTGAAGACAATCAAGAATTTTCTCTTTCCATTGAACTTTCTTATTAATCACAATTCAATTCATCTTCTCAATCTTTCTGTCATCTTCGTTTAATCTCAGTTCAGAATTTCTTATTTAAACCATGCATTTACCCACACTTTTAAACACTTTTGACCTTTACATGTGAAAACCTTAAAGTTCACAGCTAATACACATACTCATATACCATTGTGCTTATCATTCACCAGTCAAGAACAAACACCATGTATCCACACAAAACCAATTAATTCCAGATTCCAGCCATGAAATAAATACTGGGATGAGAAGGGGAAAACATTGTTGCAAATATCCGGATATGAATAACTTAAGAGAGAATGGAAAACACCTATTCAAAATAAACAAAAATTACCAAATATTGAGAATTCTACAGGAAAAAAGATTAACAAAATTATCAGTTAATATGACATAGCATTTCTTGACCCTCACCCCCATTCCCAAAGAATAACGACGAATAAAAAACCTATCTTGATAAAAATTTCAAACAGCAGCAATATGCAAAACCCAAAAAGAAGTCGATAAAAAAAAATATCAACAACACATACAAGAAAAATTAGAAAACCCCAGAAAAGAGTCATCAGAACTTTGCCTAAATTCAATACAACCACAGAAATTCATCCCAAATTCCACAAACATTTTTTCCAAAAAAAAATTCCATTAAAACTAAAGAAAACATGCACAAATTGGAGGACAGAAGCGGTGGCCAAAAATAAAATAAAAGAGGTGGGCTTACGGAGACATAAGAGCAGGTGGGAATGACTGAAAGAGAATTGGATTGAGCATGAGAGAAAGCAGCCACACAGAGGTGGCCAGCAAGGCCTAAACCCCTCTTGCTAGAAGGAACATAAGTATGGATGATGTCCATAACTTTTCCCCCATTTCTGAGCTGGTACTGCAAGTATGCTTCTTTATCCTCTGTCTCAAATTTTCGGTCTTTCTCATTCCACACTATCTTTGGTGCCTCAGGCTTTGCTCTTGTTGTTGTTGCTGCCATCCTCCTCAATCCTCTCCCTGTCTCTGCTTTACTCTGTCTTTGTAAGTTTTGATGCTGTGGCTGTCTCCCGGTTCTAGGACTCCAGTATTTATAGAAAACAAACTTAGGAGGTAAATATAATCGAAATGGAAAAGGAAATATATTTTCTTTTTTTCTCTTTCTATTTTGATGTGAAGATTGTGATAATAGTGGGTTCATTTGGATTAAAAATTATTTAATTTTTTCTGCGATAATATTATAGCATTTTTTAGAATGTGCTGTTTGTAAGATAAAAACATGATTAGAAAAATTAAAAAAAAACTGAGAAACACATGCAATAAATACCAACATAGTGAGTATTATTTTATTTATTATGAAATAAATGGCCTCTGGTGAGTGATGTTTTTAGCATTTTACTTTAGATTTTCAAAAGGAAAAATATTTTCTTTTTTTTCTGTTCTATTTTGATGTGAAGATAGTGAAACTAGTGGGTCTATTTGGATTAAAAATTATTTAATTTTTTTGCTATAATATTATAGCATTTTTTTTAGAATGTGCTGTTTGTAAAATAAAAACATGGTTAGAAAAATTAAAAAAAATAATTGAGAAACACATGCAAATGAAACCAACATACTAAGTATTATTTTATTTATTATGAAATAAGTGGCCTCTGGTGAGTGATGTTTTTAGCATTTTACTTTAGATTTTAAAAAATGTGTGATTATGGAAAATAAACAGAGAATAACAAGAATCACCAAAAGCTACTTTTTGATAGATTTTAGATTTTAACTTTTTTTGTCTATTAAAAACTCCATAATCCAAATACAAAATCAAACAAACGAAAACATCAAAAGAGACTGATTATATAAAGGGATAATTTCAGAAACATCCCCTGAGGTTTCCAACAATTTCATTGACCTCCCCTAAGGTTTTGAAAATGACATAAACCTCCCCTGAACTTATAGTTGTAGTAACATGATCAGCCCATGTCAGGAAAATGAGCATTAAAAAAATATTTTGAGGAGTGAGATGATATTTGTGTTCCACATATGCCCTTTTTGCTTATCCACAACTTGTATTAGTAAATAATGAAAACTATTAAAAGACAAACATAATTAGTAAATTCTAGTAGGTGTCATAGCAATTAGGAAAAGTGCAGTAACAACAACTTGAAGCTTCAGTTTGCACAAATGGCTAGTGCAATGGCCATATTTTAAGTTTCTTTCAAAAGCATATAAACGGCTCAAGCAACTCAAGAAATAATTTATTTTTAGTGTGATTATCTAATTTTGAGGTAATAAAAAGTGGCAAGGCTAGACCAACCAAAGGCCATAGTTAACATGATACTCATCATAAATATCATACTAGGTGTTGTATCTATATTCATCCAAAATATAAAATCAATTGGATAAACTCTTGTAACAAATATAAAAGTGTCACGACATTGTACCAACCATTTTAAATCTTTTCTGATTATGTAAGAAGTAAACCAGTAATACTTGTCAGTTGGATTGTATTTGGAAGAAATGTACGACTATTGTTAGATGACTACTACTGTAACTTTACTAAGAGATAATAAGCAACAACTTATTAGTTGAACTAGTTAGTAAGGCAACAAAAGTCACTTGACATTAGTTCAAAATTGCTATAATTGTAGCAGTTATAGTATTACATAACTATAGATGCAATCCAATATAGTTTCAAACACCATCTGCCCCAGATGAATGAGGCAGATGGTGAGGATTGCAAAGCCAAATTTCATGACCATTGATTGTTTGTCACTAATGCCAACCATATACAAAAGCATGAGTGGGTAGCATGTCAATAATCTTAATGCAAATCAGCATATTTTAACCTTAGGGGAGCTATGCTTTTTTCCTTCTTTTCCCTCCATTTTTCCATCTTCGCCAAGTTTTCGTATAATACTATCCTTGTGTTGCTCTCTAAAGTCATGTCCAATCACAAAAAATGGCTCCATATTGGTGCATCAATTAGTGTCATTTCTTAAGTGTAGTTACATTGGCTTATTAGAGATAGAACTACAGTTAATATCATTTAATTAGTTCATTTATTTAATGACCTAATTATATTTTTCCTGAAATTGGTTTCTCATCACCCTTTTATGCATAAGGGCAAAGTAGCAAATTCATTCCAGGTTACATCAGCAATGGGTCCCAAAATCAGTTGAGGGGAGGTCAGTGTTATTTTCGAAACCTCAAGGGAGGTCAATGAAATTATCCCTTATATAAAAACAAAAGTTACAATTAGTTAAAATAACCAACCAGAACAAGAAAGTATTTAAATGTTGATAGTAAATTAATGACAATGTGAAATGTTTGCAATCAATCATATATTAAATATTGAAATGGCATTGACACACGTATTTGATATCCACACTTTGATTACTTCAAATTGGTTTAAGAAATAAGTAAATGTAGATATCGAGAAGAAGAAGAAAAGAAGAAGAAGTAGAAGAAGGAAAAGATTCCACGATTATAGGAAATGACTTTTGCTTGAAACTTTTTAGTGTAATATAGAAACAACAAAATAAAGAGTCTGGCTTATCCATTGAACCCGTAACCCATGCGTTGGTAGAAATTTAACTCATGAATGACTTGTAAATAGGCAATGGGAGTTTTGGTCTAACAATTTTTTGGTAGCGTATATATTGTCAATTTTGAATGAACGATAATTATATAAAATTTGAATTTAAAATTCAATTATCGCACATGTGTCATGGATTCAACGGTAATAATGTATATACTATCAGTATACATAAGATTTACTCATAAAAATGATCATTTTTATCTTACAAAAAAAAATGATCATTTTTAGCAATCCAAACACAAATGTAGTTGAATTGCTAAATTATTTTAAATAATATTTTGCTTACATCATAAACACATTTTTCAATTTATCTTTTTATATTTTCAACTACTTTTTATCTCACATACATCACATCACAAAAAAATGCTACAGTAATTATTTCAAATAATACTCTATCCAAACATAGGTTTAGTGCCCAAAAGGAAGAAATCTTTTGAGTTTCTAACCATTACCAATGGCATTGAAGCTACGAAAATACCTTGTACTAATAGACATTCCTATATCATGCTTTGTCAATTGCTGCAGTTGTGGTCAGCTATTGTTGACTAATTGTGTGAATTGCAATGCAGTTGAAACTTGAAACTAGGGTAAATTAGTTCTGTGAAATTGTGAATAGCAATGCAGTTGACTGTATGTTGGGTTTAATGTCTTTGGTGGCAATGGGTCCTTCAAGTCAACCATCGAAAATTGACTTCATGAACCCATTTGAATTGCATTTTTGGGAAATTTTTGTAGAAAAATTACTAGAGCATTTTTTTTTGAGATGTGATATATATAAGGTAAAAAAAAAAGTAGTTTGAAACATGTGAAAAAGAATAATTTCACGAAAACCCAAAAATTCCACTAAAAATCCAAAAGAAAAATTTCTACTAAAAGTACAGTCCAAACAAGTTGAAAGCTTTTATAACATTGCCTAAGTAATTAAAGTTTAGGGGTATACTTTTTAAAGCAAGTGATATTTAAAAAATTGAAAAAAAAAAAGAAAAAAGAATGTGTAGTTAACCTAATTCGAAATTTGGCTTAGAATCATACGTGATATGGCAAATAATCACAGCACCTACTATAGTTTCAGAGCAAATTTCTTTTAAAATACAATTACAAATTTCACTGCTAAAGATTTAGTTCACTTTGAGAAGAACACATTCGTTGTGTCAATAGGAATTTGCTGTGACATTAGAAAAGTCTCCTATCAATGTTTTAGTCAGTTGACTTGGACATATACAAGTCAGAAAAGTAGAACAGTAGAGTATTCTCCGCTGAGAGTACGTTTGGATTGCAAGTTTTTAAAGAAAAATTGCTACATTTTTCGTGGACATATTTTTCAATTATCTTTTACCTCACATATATCAAATCACTATAGTAATTTTTCTACAAAAAATTCAGAAAAATGCAATCCAAACATCCAATAAGGTTCCAGTTGCTAAACATTTATGGTTTAAAACCAAAAATTATATTTATACACACACACCCAAATTGTTAATTTTTGTTAGGGACTTGAATAATATCTATAATACAAAAATTTTTTTGTTAACAAGGGAATCCACAGCCGCTATCCGAAAGTATGCACTGAGTAAACCCAATTCCATACAATAGCCCGCCAGCCACATGGAGGGATAAACCGCACTAAATAAGCCCTATGCGACAGGCAGATGTTTTAGGAGATGTTCGAGTTCGGATTGACAAGAAAGTATGATACCGGCTTTACCATCTCGGCCAATTCAAGGAATATAATAAAAGAACTTAAGCAAAGAAAGTTCATATATCCTTTTTGGAATACGAACTTTTGCATAGATTTCATTTATTCTTTGAATATATGTTGCAAACAACTTCACCTTTCTCATAAATTTATTCAAAAATTTGTTGCATTGCTAGCTTTGGAACTGGAGTTTGAGCTATAGGTTTGATTATTGGTTCATACTTCCATTAATTTCTTGACTTGAACCGTCTATCCACCTTCCTAGATGTCCTTGCCCTTCCATGAGTTCATTAATTTCAACTTCATTGAGGATTGCCCTTTTTAGAGTCCATGTTATGTACTCCCTCCGTTCCATTTTAATAGTCCTGTTTTCCTTTTTCGTCTGTCCTAAATTGTAGTCCACTTTCCAATTGAAGAATATAGTTGTCTTTTAATTTCTCTAAAATACCCTTATTTAATGTAAGTTGTTATTACTGTAAACTACCTTATTTAATATAGATTGTTAGTATTGAATATAACCTACACCATTTAATGCATTTAGATTTTCCAAAACATATTGATATATGAAAAGCCAACTTCATTTAATGTAAGGATATTTTAGAAAAATAGCAATCTAAATTTGTTTTTTCAATAAAGTTAACTATTTTTTCTTAAACTGTGTGAAAAAAAAAATTAGAACTATCAAAATGGGATAGATGACAAGAATAAAATCCAATCTTAACATATCTATCAACCGTTTAGTCCATTATTGCAAATTCCACAAAAATTGACCTGGTCAATAATGACCAAACATTTTTT